TGTAGACACTGTGTCATGCCAAATTGCCCCATATTGAGCAGCGACTCGCCAATCACTCTCGGCATGTACACTCGGGGTGCGGCAGATGTGAGGACCTGGTTGATGGAGACCTAGTACTTATCTGTCTCAACGTCCGATACAGGATGTTGGGGATGAAGGTCTGTGCTGGACCCAGAAATGGGTTCGTCGAGAAGCGCCGCGTGTGTCGTGTAGATGATAGTCGCTGTCGCGTGCGATCGTCGCTCGACTTGCTGATCCATCATATGGTACGCGGAGGCTACCAGAAGTGGAAGGTCACTTCAACTATTCAGGTATGGCAAGCATATGAATCTGCGCTGTAGCTTTCCTGCTTTGAGAAGCCCACAGTCGTAGTCGTGTACTGGGTGGCAATTTGGTACTGCGAGATTAGAGTCATACGTCGAATTTGAGTCCTGCTGTCCGTAGCCACATCTGTCGCTTGCCTTCGGCTTCGCGAATGATCTCAGCGGAAAGCTGTAGGCTGGGTGCGAGATGAGCGTATCGCTCCATTTCCAGGACAACGTTGTTGATGATATCGTCCATAGTCGCCGGTGGAGGCAGTAGCTGAGATAGCGAGGGAGTCATTGTTGCGCCCATGATGAGCAATGTCTGGGAGATGATGCTACAAAACTGTCAGCAAACGCAATGTTGGCATTTGGTGAAACTTACGAGAGAGCGCCCTGGAACAGATAAGGCAGGTGCCCTGCGTGGTGCGCAGTGATGTACTCCAATTGACGAACGCATGCTTCCAAGCACTTGTGGCAATTATCCTGCACACTCGAATCCATGGCTAAAGTCTCGTCCTGCAAGACCAAAAGCACGTATGGGCGGAATATGATGGTACGGCATGCGAAGTAGCGCAGTCTCAAAACGGTCTGAACCGGGTTTTGTAAGGGTACTCTGTCCAGCGGGAATTGCATGGCAGGTGGTAGCCCAGCATACCATTGGTTGAGCTGGTAGTCGAGTTCCACAACCAAAGGATCTAGTTGTGCGATCGAGGTCGCAGCTGGGCCTTTGGAATAGGGTGTTGTTCTGATGTAGAGCATGGAGCTCACGCGATTGAGTAGTCGCCGAAGAGCGATCTCTGCAAGAAAATACCACAGTTCATCTCGGCCAACAGCTTCCGTTCCAAGATCCTCGAATCCGGTGGGCAATGCAAAGCCTTCTTCAAATTGTGCGAGGCCGGAATGGGGAAGGTCGAGCTCCGCTAGCAGGTCGCTTTCGATCATCACAGCGTTCCAGTACACTCTTCTGCCCAGCTCCTCTTCTGCTGGAGACACGCGACCAGGGGCGCTCAAAAGGAGTTGCAACTTCATACTGGCGCCAGATAACACGTTCCAGGCTTCAACCGGGCGTACAAGATACACCAAGTATGCAGCAGCAAGGATTTGACATTGCGCAGCTACCATGTTGTTTCTCGTCATGACGGTCGGCAATAGACTCCATGCTGCGGTAAAGTATGCCAGGCCTGGAGGATCCTTATCAGGGTTTTGCTGTGTGATACTGCCGGTGCTTGCAGCATGACCTAGCGCAAGAACGAGAAGAACTATGCAGCTTTCAGGCCCATCTCGGAAACCATGGCTGAGGGCGGTTTGGTAGTGGCTGCTCCATGTGTACGGATTGACGACTGCATAGAAAACGTTCACTCTCTCAAAATACGCCTGCACATATGCGCCAGTATTTGAGAGATCCAGCCCACGGCTCGTTCCAAGGCTTACAGACTCCCGCGTCATCTCAAGTTGGAGAAGAAGCTTGGCGTCATATTGGCGAGACACGAGCTCTCTGATCATGGGAGATGACAGCAGATTGAGTGCCGCAGTATTGTGGGTTTTCGGCATGGTCGAGATGTTTGACGGGTGGTTGGTCCATGTTCCTATGCCGTTGATCGGCTGTACCATGCCGAGATGGGGTATATTGCCGGTGCTACGGGCGAGGAAATCTTCGCTGGTGGAATTGCTCGCGGCTGGCGAATGCGATGATAATGAGAAATTACTAGTGAGGCCAGATTGTAAAAGACCCTCGATGCGGTTCAGATGCTCTAGGATCAGCTTGTCGCCTGCGTCCAGCTTAATGCCCGGCTCTCGGTATATGCACTCGGCATTCAGCTCTGTACACAACCTGCACTTTGGCCTGTTTCCGTCGCATCGACTCTTTCGTGACCGACATATTTCGCACTATTTGATGTCAGTTTTCTGAGATGGAGGAGTCGAAATAAGGATGATGTACAGCGATCGTCGCACGCCGGCGCGGGTAGTCTATCGTGTCGGTACTTGGGCGCTTCTTTGTGCTCGGTCGCTGTTCGGTGCTCGTGCCGTTGGTACCATTGCTAGTAGGTGCGATTCCATTCGACGCGGGCGGGGTGTTGTCATTGGACATTTCCCGGTCTGTGCCAGATGATTGAGACATGTTGCGGGGCCTCTTCTTGAAGGGATTACTCAAACCACCGTTTCCTGTGAAAAGTCCATTCGGGGGGTCGAGGAGATGAGGAGACGTCAAGGCGGACTTGAGGATAAAGGTATTTGCGTCGGGCAGAGCGGAGAGATTGAGGCAGAAGGCGTCGCGTGGGAAGCCTCCATTAGTGGTCGCTGCTGACACGGGACTAACATCTGGAGAAGGAGTAATTCCAGCCATGATTGGTGGACGGTTAGACAGCGGCCGGGGCACGCTGCACAACTTCTGCGGCGTGCAGCCACGATATCGAGACAAAGTCCTGGGTTTCAAGGCGTCACAGGGTGTCAGAGAGGCGTAGCTGATGAAGGTAGGGCACGGCAATCCGGTATGAAGATGAGACGGCAGGACGCACGACGATTATAACCACACCGAATCTCGCCTCATCCTTAGCTCCTACACCTACACATGTCACCAAACGGGCTTTGCGAGATGAGCGAGGCGAATGCGGGGGTGACAAGGGCATCAAGCACTCCACATTTGCGCTCTGACAATCAAAAAATGGCGCCAGTGATCCTTCCAAGGGTCTCGCGTCGAGCCGTGGCCGGCACCGTCATGTTGCTACCCACCCACGGCCGCAGCTTCGCCCGGTCGACGATAGATTGCCTGCAACCTGCCGGACGTTTGGGTAGACACACGATCAGCGTAGTGGTGGTGGCAGCCTCGAACGAGTGGTGGCAGCCTGCTTACAGAAGGGTCTGCAGGAAGCACGGAGCATGCGAGGCATGCGGTGTGTCTGGAGAGGCCCGCGAAGCGACATGCCTGCCTTCCAACTCTCCAGCGTGCTAATCGCGTACAATAGGCTAATACACCAGGAAAACGGCCGACCTAAGATCGTACTGCGCATGCTATTGCCTTGGCATGGTGGGTTCAGCATGACTGTGATCAGCGAACGGCGGCAGTGGACCTGCATCAACAGCATCTCCTGATCATTCGCGCTACGCCTTCACAAGTCCGCTGCATTTCCATATTGCTACCAAGCCACTCGAACTCCACTCGAAGACTTGCACCCCGTCTGATAGGCGCAAGCATGCTTCCATGCAGCAATTCATATTAAAACGCTGCCCAAGTGCAATTACCAGGTACATCCTGGCGTCTACCTAGGTACCTGTAGGAGCCGTGGAACAAGTGGACTCTTCCACACAACAGCTGGGGTATCGACCAGTGATGTTCGCTGCTGACTCCGGCACTGCATCCTAGGATTCATTGACTTCGACTATGCGTGTGCCGGTGATCCAACACCGTGTACAGAACGCTCTTATCGACTGACTCAATGCTGAGTCGAAGCGGCATAACGACAACCATAGTGCAGTTCCAAGACACGGAGTCGTCTGTCTTCGTATAGCTTAGCCTAGGGGCTGAATGACCTGCGATGGCGCAACCAGTGAGGCAAAGCTTCTAGAAGACGAGGAAGAAGACATGTCTTGGACATGTTGATCTGCGCTTCGAGCGGTTGAACCCCAGTCGTGCGCCACATGATGGGGTAGACGCTCGGTATGTCGACATGACCAGGATGCTTTCTGCTCAATGGCGTAGCCTGGTGGTTATGTCTCAGGCTATGCGTTCTGCCTTCTGAGCGCAAGGTGAATAGCCGGTGGGTACCTGAATCTGACTACCGTTCGGTATCGTGGAGTCTGTTCAGGCGGCCACGAGTGGTTCGGTCGGCAGGAAAATGCGTCCGCTGTCTTTGGAAAGGCAGAAGATGCGATGCGTGACGCAGGAGTGGTCATGATCGGTATTGCGTCAGGGTTAGGCTTATCGGCTCCTCAATGCAACGGCAGATGTCAAGCCAACTCAGCAACGTCATGTAGCCTTGTAGTACTCCATCTGAACATGACATTGTAAGGCTACCGATGCATCGCGTGCCGTATCCTGGGAACGAAGCCGACTACTTTGACTTTCTGGTGCAGACGCTTGGAAAAGTGAGCTGGGTCTAAATCAGACACCGTACCTGCTACTCCCAAATTGAACGTGGGATGTGACGATGAGGTCGGTAGATCGAACAGTAGTCAATCTTTCTGCCTCGTGAGCTCCTCACTACTTGAATTATAACCGCAAGCGACTACCACTCAACTTTTGCGAGCCCTCGCGTGGACCGTCTCAGAGAAAGGATGCAGCTGGTTTGAGTGAGAATGGCATCTGGCTTATTAAACGCTCGGTCAGTGATACTCACAGTCAATCAAAAAGATGTAGATGGCGTCATCATCAGCGGGAACAGTTTCCATCGTCTCCATTCGAGTCGTTTTCGCGAGGGCGTCGCTTCCTGTTACACGGATACAAACGCATAGCCATGCCGAATAGGAAAGAGCGACACAGCCCAAAAATGGCAAACAAACAAACAAGACACTTCGAGAAGGGCCCACGGAGATCGCCGCCTGCTGGCATTTAACCACATGCGCAAGCAACCTACATTGACACACTTCGGAGGACCGCGCGATCGACGAAGTGACACAAACACCAATCTGCAAGGGTAGCTTCTTTGTACGACCCAAAGCATGAAGCCGGAAGCACTCGACGCTATCACGACACAAACCATGAGGCCGAAAGCACTTGAAGCTATCACAGCTCACAATACGGAAGAGAAGACGCCAGCTAGGCAACGTGTATGCTTCTCTTACGTTCACCCTATACCCTACACATACTGACGCCGGTCAGACTTCTCCTCACCAAAACCAAGATACCACGAATTCCTCGTCCGCATCCCCAAGATCAGCGTCAAATAGTAGCACGATCAGCACAGACGGCACCTCAGAGGCCACCCCGACCGTCGCAACCATCGTCTCAGATGTCGTTGAAACCGTCAAAACCGCCGTCGATAGCGCTATCGCCTGGGCCGAACAAAAGGTTGATAAGCTGAGTGCTGAGCAAGACACTACGGGTCCGTACGCTTCGCCAGCCACTTGCATGCCATCTGATCTCGATGCTATTGCCAGCGGCATTCTTCCGGCTCTGCCAGCTACGAGGCAATATGATGGGGGTGTTGACGATGGGTTGAAGGAAGCAGATGGTACTGAGAAGAGTGTGACGACTGGAGATGGAGAGGACGTACGGAAGTGAGGGAAGTAGGATGAAGGGGAGAGCGCAAGTTGCAAGGCTTTGCAGATGATCTGAATGGCAGCGAACGAGGAGGTAAATTCTGCATGATGGAGTGGCATATGATACCCAAGCATAACTTCGAATGATGAGAGAGTTCGATGTACTCGCACCAGCGAATGGAGATAATGGATAACATGCGGTCATGAAGCAATCGTCAAGCGAATGAGGATGATCGCGACCGTCAGAAGCAGTCATCGAGGTGAGGTCAAAGTGTCAAGCTGCACCTACTTCTCTACCGAGTAGACTAGACTGTTTTCTTTCTGACGAGGTAGCCACGCTTCATTTATCCTATATCTGTCTAATTCCAGTCGCATTCAGAGAAGCTTGTGGCGACCCAAGGTGAGGTACACAAGCTCTATCTTCAAGTATCCACAGTTGGCAATAATCAAGCTGGAGAGTGAGATTCGGCTTGATGGTCAGCTCTTTTGAGCCTAGCATTTGCCTAAATAGGCCTAGCCGTGTCCTTCATTCGCTCGCTCCCCATCTCCAAGTCCCATGTTGACTTGATTGTTGACATCTCTGCACTCACATATCCTTTTCATTAACTCACCCCTCTTCACCATGGCGTACCAATGTCCCATCTGCTCAAAGAATTGCACTTCCGAACAAGCGCTGGAAAACCACACGGGCACCAAGGACGCCGCCCTCCGCCGCGCTCACGCATGTCACGAATGCGAGTCTTGGTTCTGCATCCAGAGAGAGATAAATCAACATCGCGACGCATTGTCTCATGGTACCACGTTCAGCTGCGACGTTTGTAAGAAGCTTTTCGGAAGCAAGCAGGCTGTGGGATTGCATAAGAAGTCGTCGTCGCATAAGCGAATGCTGGCTCGCACGAACTCCGTGACTGGAGCGGTTGCATCTTGGTATGAATGAGTCATGGTCAACCCTTTCATTGGAGTAATGTAGTCATGTGCAATAGATTTGTCTTTTTCAATAGCTTTGCCACTTCCCGCACGTCCAGTTTTCAACCTCGCTGTTGATACTCGAGAAGATGCGAAAGACTGGAAGGATTCTTGAATGACCGTATCTAGGTATATGGGCGGAGGGCCGGTCATTTAAACAAGAATAATGGACCTACGTTCTCCGAACAAGGCCATCCTGCTAATCTCGATCGTTTTATGCCTGCCCACACTACATAGCCCTACTCGACTGTAGGTATCTTGGTTTCCTGGGATGGTCTGGAGAACCAAGCAGTATAACGTATGGCCTGCCTCGAATTCGTCTATTCCCGTCTCTAGTGATCTTTTCCATGAGGCTTTGTACCGTTCGCCATCGCCCGGTATGAAGAGAGCTTGAGGACCATGGCACACCGTTACAGGTAAACAGACCAGGGTCACTTGCCCCAGCCTGCTGAACTTCCGAGTGTCGGGCCAGGAGTAATTGATATGGCCCACAGCAGGAATGCCTTTCTCGACCAGAGCTAGCCCGGAGATGTGGTGCTCGTTTGGCGTCACTGCCAACAAAACGCCAGACAAGCCCAACGATGCTCTCGACGTTACTCCGAACGGATGGTTCTCGCAGGTTACTGGATCCGAAACATCGAGAATATCGTATAGTGGAGTCAAGGGCGTGCGCCGCAACCCCGCGTAAGCATCGTACGACAAAACCGCTTTGTAGTCCACACCACCTTTGATTGAGGCCCATGACCATGACGGTGCCCTAGCTGATCTTGTTGCGCCTCTACTCTCAGCTGGTCCTGCTTCCCAAAGGAGACCGATGATCATATCGCGCCTCCACAGCCCCGCATGGTAGCTGTCGTTCACTGCCATTCCAAACCTTTTCGCAATGCCGGCTATTGCAGGTAGCTCATCTTCCTCATATGTTAGACTCCGACTTGTATACTCGGTTACTATCTGGTACCAGCAGGAATATGAGTCGGTCGCTGGCTCTTTCTGTATTAATGATGTTATACCATTTACTATGCAATGAAGAAGCCGGTGATGATCGTGTGATATATCCGGAGCGTGCAGAATTCCCAAAGGATACTTCTCGTTGGTCGATAGCGTCGGGCAGCGCCAGATGAGACCGTTTGTCGAGAACATGATGGAGCGGCGAGACAAGATCTGCTCCTGCAGGACCCAGGCTCTTTGGACTAAGAAATCCTGACCGTAAGCAGTGTTGTCTGGTTCACCAGACATCCTTTCTCCCAATAATGGATACCGGTATAGGTGGCATGCCTGTCCGAATACCACGATTGGACAAGGCCAAGAGATTAGACCAAGGCGCTCTTTCCAAAGTCCTTGTGTGGAGTCTGCTGCTGCTGCCGCCGAAATGTTCAGTATCGAGTTGCCGTACACAACCCCCATTTTCGGTGCTTCTTTCGCCCAATCTTCTTGCGTCTCTTGCTCTTGGATGATACAAAGGGAATCAATCCAGATGTATTCTATGCCTATCTCCCTGCAGACCTTAACAGCGTGCCTGAACGTTTTTGGCAATGCCTCGTCTTCGATTCCCCGCTGTCGGCAAGGAAGGGTTTGATCAGTCGTCGACAACGGTCGGTTGTTGGGATCTCCCCAGCAGTGGCTTAGAGTGGCGTAGTGACCGTTTTTCTTATTTCCAGACACTAAGTAGCATTTGCTAGATCCTCTACTCCCCACTGCAACCACTCTCGTGGGTAAGGACGGAGGCTGAGAATCTGCTTGGGAACAGGCTGGATGTGAACTTGTGCAGATATCCAGCCAGGTCTTGATCCTTGATAGACTCGCCGATGAGCCCGTGTTAGTATCACTCCCTGATGGAAGACATGTTTCCGGAAGGTCACGAAGACTGGCTGTTCTACTGATTAGACTCATGGGATGCGGGATATGATGAGAATGAAGAACACTCACTATCCATAGCTTTACATATCAGTCGTCCGCGCATATTATGCGGCAAGTCCCCACATAGTATGGTGATTTGTACCTCATCAGGGATAAAATTCTCGTGCGGCAGCGTCTTCCCTATTCTTTTGAAACTGAGTCTGCTGCCGTCGTTCAGGGAAACCGAACGAAACCCCAGTTTACCAACCCATCCACCCCCTGTCTCTTGTTCCAAGCGGCATACATCCTCCCACGCTATCAAAATCAATACGCAAAGATGGCAACCCCCACGTGCACTCTTTAGTAACGCATCAAACGAGTTATGATGATCCACTATAACCTCGCGAAAGTTGTTGATTTCCTCCCAGTACGTACTGTCCAGGCGATCGAGGCTCATACAAGCGGAACAAAGTCGGTCACTTTTTGAGCGCTCTGGTATGCGGAATTGACCAATTCCGAAGCAGGCTGGTCGAGCCTGCTTGCCACCAGTAGGAAAAGCCCATTCTTTAGTATTGATTCTTGTACCAACCGATACAACTTCGCAAGGCAAAGGATCCTGAGTCGTTGGGGCTGGATGCTTTGAAGACGAGTGAACCTGATCCATTGGATGGAGGTCTGACAGTACCCACGTGAACAAAGCCTTGGAAATCAGTACCCTTGCGCTTGATTGGACAGCAACGATAAGGCAGGCCAATCGGTAGTTCTGATTCAGGACAGACAAACGAACTTGGCGAGCGGTGGAGTGAGAGTTTGACTTTTGGCTGGAGGTATGGAGGGATGGAGGGAAGAACGGCTGGCGAGATGGGGTAGACGAAGATATGGATGTTTGTGGGCTTCGATACATATGGTGGCTGAAGTTGCGGGGCAGTGCACCTCTTCCGATCAGATATCCAGCGAATTAAAGTCAATGCAACCATCTGAAAACGTCTTTCTCTAGGCGCTGCGACGCCCTAGGGCCACGTCGTAATACTCAGCGACATGATCACACAGCCTAAGCGATGCTTAAGGCAGTCTGAAAGAAAGCCAGCGCAGATACCACAGCCGCGAGCCTAGACCGAGTCAGCACAATGAGTTTCCAGTAATGTCCAAAAAATGAAGCATGCCTAGGCATCCCACCGATCACGAAATGGGTCTCGTCTGAACTGATGATGCCGCACGATATGCACGGCAAAAGAAGCTATACGTCCAATTCATTGGCGCGTTGCCAGACATCATGTCCATCTGTATCAGATCAAGTGCGCTCTCATGGCTAGCCCTCTGCCTGTCGCCTCTAGCCCCGTGGGCAGTGGCAGCCCTGGAGTCAACCGTTGACGTTTTCGTGGAAGTCGCGTCGACAGCGACCTGAGCACACCAACCTCCCGGCGGACCCGCAAAAGGTGGGGAAACCGTTCCCAATCCACACTAACCTCGGTCCCAGCCAAAAGCATCACAACGACGCGGGCGTGACATGCGCGTCTCTGCAAACGCCATAGAGCCCTCCTATTCTCCTCCTTTTACCAATTCGTAATCTCTCTCAAACCCAGCACCAGCTTTAGGGCGATTTTAAAAGCAGCATTCACCACTATGACGTCGATAACCTCGCAGTCGCATCCCCTGCTGCAGGCTTCTTCAGCCGCGTACGCTATTCTGGCGATTGGACATACGGTAATAGATCATAGAGTTGTTTAGATATCGCGGTATATTGACAAAATATCGCAGCTGAAGGGTATGGACCAGTTCAAACACCCGACAATGAACACACTGCCGCTCATGCTCCGTGGTGCGAGTAAGATCGGTTGGTACGAGGGCAGCGGATTCTTTATTATCATGAGTAAGTCTACAGGCAGATGTCACAAGCATGGGGCCTCGCGATTGACAGTCCAATAGGCATTCTCAACTACAAGTGGTCGGTCACGGGTATCTACGACGTGTACGACAAGAGCATCGCGGGTGTCCTGACGACCCTGTTGGCAGCAGCGGGTGCGGCTTACTGGAAGAGCAATGATAGACCTACGGCTATCACGCTGGGTGTTGTTGCTATTCTGCAGGGACTGGGTGTGAGGAATGCATCGTACTCGCGCTTGACTTAGATGTCATGGCATGTACAGGGCAAGTTCAGGATATATCTCGAAAAAGACACATTATTATTACTGCTAATTCAGATCCACTACTTGAATCTGA